CTAATTGAGCGACGTGAAGGAGGTTCTTGAGAATTGTTAAGATCACAGAAGTTGAAGGAGACGTTGGTTCGCGCCTACACAGAAACTTCTAAACAGATGTAGGCGACTGTGCAGCACAATGCGAAAAATAGAACGATAAATGAACAATGTCTGCATTTGCAATATAAAATATTTATACTTCTTTTTTACATATTAATTATTTTTGATATCATTAATATATTTCCTTGCAGAGAAATTTACGGTTAAAGAGGCTTTGTTAGCGATAGAAGGGCAAAAAGGAAATCGCAAGGGATAGGGGAGAAGGAAGATGAGGCGAGCCTAAGAAAGGCGGATGATTAGGGACTGTTGGGCCGACCCTTAGTCTGTCTTATTGCTAGTACTCGATTTCTACAACGACAGAGTTCCTCGCTCGATTTTGAGCGAGTTACGCTCTCTTTGAGCAACCTGCCGGACCCTTCGTGACCCCACAAAGGGCTACGACAAAAAGGACTATAGTCCTTCGGCAGGCGTTTCAGTTCGATCAAGGCGTCTAAAGCACATCGAATCGATCGAGGGACATGCGGGTCCCTTAAATGAAGACGAAAGGACTCCCAGATGCTGTGACTGTGACCCTTAAATTATAATCATAGTATCTTATGTCTTTGTTCCTTTGAATGACTGTATTTTGAATGAATGCCATTTTGATGTTAAATGCCATGAAAATTTAAGAATTTCTATCGAAAATACTTATTCTAATTTAATACGATCATGTAATGCATTATCTAAACTCTTCCTCGCAATCGAAATCCATATTTCTACTTTCTTCAAAAAAAAAATCTCTTGCAATAAAAAAATCTGATAAGGAAAATCGATAGGGAAAGATCTCGGTGATAAATTCTAAGGATGATGGACTTCTTTATACAAATCTTTTTCCGTTTCGATCGATTCATACCCATTTCAAGGTTCAGAATTTTCGTTCAGAATTCGCGCTTCATCGCCTTAGCGAAGATATCGAAAGATTTTTACTCGTCACTGTCATGTTGCCTCAGGTGCGATCTAATGTAACGAACTCACACCAGAAAAAATAATATCAAAAGAAAGAGTACTTCTGGGAAATGCGTGACGAAGACGTCGGGTCATAGTTTATATGTTGCTATCGGAAAAAACATTGGATAGCCCCGGGTGACTTCACTCTTGCGTTTTATCGGAGAGCAGTTCGTGAAACTTTAACGTGTTTATCTCGTGGCGGTAGGACGAATCAGATTGTCGTAATGCGGAAAATGAGAAGAGCTAGTCCCCGAAGACTCCGTGCGCACTTTCGCTCGTCGTCAATCATAGTTAACCCTGTTCATCGATCTTTGGTTCCTTTTATGGCGTTCTTTATGGTCGGAGTCATTGTTTAGGTCGGTGAAAAAATGGCGATTTATTCGCTATTTCGCGTTACACGTTAAGGAAGGTGACGTTAATCATCAAGAGTAATTAAGACGAGCATTGACAGCACAAACTGTAAATTTACGATTGTATACGCCACCGTCTTTTTCTTAATTCAATTTAGAGAACGTTTTGTTGAAAGGAAACAAGCCACAAATGCAAATTTACTCTGTTACGCGCACAGCTTGATGATAAGCATTTAGGGATTCTGCGGAGGTATCAACACCGAGACCTTAACTATTCATGTCGTAACCCTTTCTGTTAGACTTAATTATGTCATCGCAATCGATCTGTTTGCGCTACTCATTCGTTATGTATTTTAACGATTCTTTCAATGCAATGCAAATACCGATGTTAATCTATACATTTTTAATATTTTTACACTGCAAGACTTAAATTTTGCAGAAATTTTGTTAAATAAATTACGATAAAAATATTATTTTATAAATTATTTATTTTATAATGTTACTTTCACAATAAGATTAATATAATTACACAACTATAAAATTATATTTCCCTATTGCAAATGCGAGACATTTAATAAAGTAAATTAACACGTCCAGTTTTAGCACAGACATATACGTGACAAAGTACATAAGTTCGTGGAATAAACATTCCGTTCATAGTTCGAGCACAATGGTTAATGCCATTTCCTATTACCATAATTCTCCCGAATGTCATTACGAGAGGAAATTCGTCCATTATTCGAGAATATTGATTAGATTACTTCTCTAATAAATTATTCTTATTAAAATATTTATGACGTAAGACGCACATTGTACATCAGTGCACTGAGTATTTCTCACAATCGCATCGTCAAGATTTTTTAATATCAGTTTATTGTCAGCTGCAATTTTCTGTATTGAATGGTTTCGATTAACGATCATAGTTGTGCATCGCTTTGCGTGCGAAAAATGAAACGCAGTGTTCAGAAATGACCAGGCCGAAAGGCAAATCGCGAGGAGAACCGGCTCACTCCCCGCGGGGCAAATTTCCGATTTATTCAAGCTCGCTCCCGAATACTTGGGAGCCCATAAAGAGAATGAATGGGATTGTGGCGGTCGCCGCAATGCTCAGGGCTGCTTTAGGGGTTCATGAAATACGCGCTCATCGCTCCGTCTCTCTCCTTCCTTCCCTCCTCATCTTTCACGTTTCTGTCTTTCTCTCTGTCCCTCCTTCTGGACTTTCCCTGCTTCTTTCCGCCCTCCAACTCACGCTGTCGCGCTCGGTTCTCCCTTTTTGCTTGTCCCCCAATGCGCTCTTTACCCCCCTCACTCGGCTCTTCGCGGATCGAAACTCCTCTCTGCAGGGTGGCCAGCGGTATTACCATGAATTTACATAGCCTCGCTTCGAACTCCGAACATATTGCGTTGCTTTGATTTATGCGAAACATTTGCTAAATATTCCGGCTTAATCTCGGCCACACGAAACACCGTCGTGAGAGAACGCGAACTTGCATTAGCTTTCGCATAACGATACACCGTAGCATGGCGTTTCCTCAGAAACACGGTAAACAAGGCGCAATAGGCACTTTATAAACGTCAGACCACGGAGAGAGTTTTCGACCTCACTCAATAGCGCTCGGAAAACTCAAGCGGCGTCGAAGATTTACGGGAAAACAAATCATTTCGGGAGACACCGGGGATCACCGGCGAAAATATCTATTTCGGCAAACTTTAAGGATTACGCGTGCCGTGATTTATGGCCGCATCGGCTAGGTGCGTACGAGCCACGCATCACATTTTAATGCAAGCTTCATGAATAACTCATACACCTGATGGAATAAAAATTATATGGAGTTAAAAACTTCTCTCAGCTGTAAAGGTAACAATGTTGCTCGCTAATACGTCCAGGTGAAATATATGACAATGTAGAGATACTGAAATCAGTAATATTGGTGATAAGAACAGATAAGACGACATGAAATATGATTCTCAGTTTCATGGACATTGTCGGTTTTCTCGGATTTCCTCAAATTCACTCCCATTCCAGTCGGCCTAGTTCGCACTTGGCTTCCTTAACGGTGCCGGATATGCGATCGTAGTTCAGCTAGGGGTAGCTACTCGCCCTGAAGCCGGTAAAGTACGTAAAATTATACCGCTTAGCTTCAATTACACGACGACGATGAGCGAATTATAGTCTGTTTTACGAGTTCCGAATTGTTTGCCGGTAATCGCACTGTTGGCTGACCATACGCGTTCCAATACTACTACCGACTACAATTAGCGTTTAAAATTAAGTTAAATAATTTCATAGCATAGAGAATTCTCAATGCGTTAAGAATCCTTATATTTGTAAAATATATATAAAATTTTTGTACAAAAAATATATGTGACGTAATCTATTGGTTATTTTACCTCACATATTCCACTCGGTCGGTGAATCGATCCCATTGCTAAATGCTGCAACTGCGTCATCATTTCTCGATACCTCCGTGGCTATTTCCGCTTTTCCGCGAACCGATCGCTCCTCATCCCATCCCTTCGTTGTTCCTCGGCCGTTCATTTCTCTCTTTTTATTTTTTTGTTTCGTTTCCCACTTCACATATTCATACGACGCTCTCTTCTCACAATAAACGTCGACCATTTGCATGTAGAGTCCCTGCACGGGAGCTAAACTCCCTTCGCAAGCCGAGCATCCCCGTGGACTTTGCCACCACCCCTCGGGCCTCCGACGCGATAAGCCGCCCTCGGGGATTCGCGATTGTCTCGATTTATATGCACGTACAGACGTAGGTGGTAGGCCGTGCTTTTGGTTCTCGTATACTGCGTGGAACGAGACATTCACGCATCGATAGATCGATTCTCCGACAGACAGTAAATATCACTGATGAGCTAGTCCAGTCAGCATCGATGGGGATTTGAGGACGCGGAGGAGGTTTAGGGTGCTTACCCTGCGATTTGTCGAGCAGCAGAAATCCTCTGCCATTCGACATTGGATACCTTCCCGCGGATTTTCATCCGCCGATCGTTCTTCACTTTTTCAGCAACATTTTACATATTTTCTCTCCCTACATTGGGAAGGTGCGTGCTTCGATAGCGTCGAAGCTAACTAGCGAGGGTAACAAAACTGGCTTACTTTAGCTGTTCCGAGAATTTAAATGAGAATATAAATTGATTTTGTTTCTTGAGAAACTGAGTGTTATAAAAATATAATTAATATTATAAAACATTATATAATAAAAGATACACAAATTATTATCATATTATTATTATCATTCCATTTATTATCATTATAATATTATTTATGTAATATATATATATATATATATATTCTTTTTTTAATTTATGTATAGTTGTATGTTTATGTATATATATTTATATACATATTTTTTATGCGATTATAATAGAAGATTAAAATCAACTCTCATGCGAGCCTGCGATGCAAATTTAAAGGCGAAGTTTTTCAGTTATCGGAGTTCGCGTCATTTGATGAAAGTCATCCCTTACAACTTTGAAACTCCATTAAGGATAGGGACACGCGAAGAGTGATGAAAGTTCGAGAGAAAATTCTCATCGGATGAAGTGGTTAATGGGAAATGGTAATAAGAGGGTGCATTGTATATCATTTTCTTCTGCTTGTGCTTGCAGGTATCACTGTGCGACGATTACAGTCTACCGGTCGATTTCGTGAACAAGAGACGTCCTGCGAGCGCCGCAGCTGCAACCTCCACGGTACAATGGACGCTGCCGAGTCCCACCGTAGAGAATGTAAGTTTTGACAAAGTGATTTAAGATTTTATGAAGAACTAAAATTGAATTACTCAGTTTATTTCTTAAGCAATAAGTATTTAAGATATTTATGTAAAAAAAGCAATTTTTTTTATATCGTTCGATACATTTGCGGAACTCAATAATGTTCTACTACATAACTTAATTGTGGAATAATGACACACGTTCCATTACTTTGCATGAAAAATTCAATTAAAGAGATCAGACGGCAACAATATATAACTCGAGAATAATGCTTTTACGCATTGCGGTAACGATGAAACTTTATTCATCGCAGTCCCGCGTTTATCTGTATTCACAGTTCAATGAATCCCTGCGTTAAGCAAACACGCTACTGTTACGCGTTCACGCGTCCCCATTGTGACTCGTTCTCAATCCGAAAAGTTTATCGTTATTTTCCTTCCGCGACGTGCAATGAATCAGGAAGGTCGGGAGATTTTAATTTTCCGTGGAAAAATAAAATTCTTTGAGTAACTTTTGCATAGCTTGCATTTGAAGTATATTATCAATAAAGATTTAATATTTTGTCAAGTTTAATAAGAAAATATAAGAAAAATAATATCATGTGAATTAAATTTAATCAATATTAATGTCAGAAATTCATCAAATATAGAATATATAAGGTGTCCATGTTCAGATTCATTAAAAGGTATTAAATGCATCTTACACATACGATAACCCTTGGCTATTTCATTTTCTGTATACACTGTATACACTGTATACACTGTGTGCATGACGTCACTTCCTGCGACTGTGGTCTGAGTCGTTTTGTCGGCTAACGATAGTATTGATATTTTCGCAACGCGAACGACCGAGAACTGGCCGAAGGGAGAAATATAATTACAGTGGTGACAAAATACCCCCCGGGCACTGTAGCACGAAGGGCATCACGGGGGCGTCGGAAGAGGCTGAAGGGCGTTAGAGGGTGCAAGAGGTGGTAACAACGGACGCGAAAGAGGAACGAGAAGAGAAACGTCGACGGTAGGATGGAGAGAGACTCGGTGACTTCCGGCGTTGCTTATAATTGCTCCGCCACTCAGTTTCTGGTGTCTGGGGTTGCCTCGAGCTCTACGCCTAAACGCTTTGGCAATGGAAATATAGCTTCGCCTGTACGTTCTACGATTATCTGAAAAGTGCTCGAAGTATCGTGTTTCGTGGCTTTCTCGTAAAGAAATAGTGCGTTAATAACGGATAGAAGTGGATAGTCTCGATGATTATATAATTGATCTTTTTGACTTTTTATTTAGCATACGACTGATCAGTTCATAATATACGTGTGTATTGATTATTCTCATCTTTTCATATCAACAATTAGCAGAGATAATTTCCGAATTTTTTAAAATTAATATTTTGGCAAATACCCGTTTTTTTCTGTCTTCGCATCTTTATTTTATAAATTATCATAAATATTATCTCTTTTTGTATTCACCACCCTGTTTGATATGTTAATTTGAGAAAATTTAATTCTTTATCGTCAGCCCGGCGTCTGATTACTATACAAACAAAAACGTGGTTGCGCCGCACGACCGTCGCGAGGGAGTTCATAAAAGAAAGAAGAAACATCATAGAGTGGGGGGACGACACCTGACTGTGCCGAACAAAAGTTTCCTTCGCTTCGTTGTCACCGACAACTCCCGCGAGCGTTGCAACGAAGCGAAGAGGGAGTGTGACAAAGATGGAAAGCGGATGCCACTTAACTCGAGAGGGTGAATCGTTATGAGTTCCGCTCGTAAGCCCTACTTAATACTTTAGCGCTTTATTTTATGCGTGAGATCGAGCACTGGTGTTGCTCGCATTTATCACTATAACAAAGGGCTTTAGCGCGACGAAAACTGTAGCAGACGTGCCTTTGCGAGAGTCTACAGTTAACACACGACTTTGGTGTTTTCTTCGCGAGTCGATAAAACTCTGATTCACAAATTCTTTCTGTTGTATTTCAATTCATAAAAGGCAGCCGAAAGCACGCGATTTATTTGTTCGATAGACGCAGAGCAACGAGCGTATATCGGCGGAATGCCCGAGGGGATCTGTCGCCATTTGTATCAGGTCGAATTCATGGAAGTGATTAACTCACGGCGAGTAAAATTACGTCGAAAAGTGAGCGTAATTAATTCCCGGCCAGTTCGGAGAGACGCGTCATTCTGCGTGAATTCCGGAAAAAAAATTGACTTCGCAAGAGAGCTTGATATCAAGCGCCTTTTATATGACGTCCCTCGTCCGAGAGCGAGAGTGATTGATATTTCCCCGCCGCTAAAAAACGTGCGTCTTATCTAACATTGCTCATTTTTCTTATAACCCCGCTCTTTCTCCTAATGCCATTATCTGCATATACTGTTAATGATGTCTTGTGACTATCGCGAATATTGTGAAAATACTGCCTCGTTCTACCTCGAAATTAAGAGCGATCGACGTCGCTGACATCTCCTCGAGAGTGCCATTCTGTGTAACGGTGTTATTTATGTTATGAACTATATCGCTGTTCGCCATTAATATAACTTTACTCTTTACAATATATTATTCGATAAAATTGTTCGGTGAAATGTTTTTAGAACAGTGAATTTCATTTTTTGTCATTTATATCAATTAAATTCTATATTTAAAAATTAATAAAGATTAACTTGGTCTATGTCTGAGCTCGATGCTTTTTTTTTCAAAATATGTTATTAAAATATATTAACGGAATAACAAGCAGCGAAAAATTAGCATTCTCTCACGTAGACTCGTAAATACAGTAAAGTCGGGCGATTAGGCGAGCTGATAATTACGCCAAATTATAACGCAGTGACCAAATAATCGGATTAAAGCCCCCAATAAATCGAACGGCATTAACAACTGAATATGATAGGGGTGTGATGCGTACTATTTGCATTGCATTCGATGCCACTGCATTCGACACAATCCTCAAAATGGTCAAACAGTTTACACACAGAGGGAAATTCGGAAAGTAACTTGGGAACGCCCTGTGTGTTTATTATTTGCTATCATTTTCACTGCCAACGCCACGCGCGACAGCTTTACAGATTTACTTTACTCGCTTAATGAGGCGTCGCTAAATCCGCGCGTTTTCACTCGACGAATCGAACGGCAATTCGATTTCTCGTCGGTGTTGCACGTCGATAACCTCGCGTAATCGTTTTCGCAACCACCGGCGCGGACTTCGGCGGATGCGCTCGCGTTATACGGAAAGTCAGCCCGTTCGTTATCGGATTTGCAACAGCCGATCGAGCGGCCTTCACTGTGCCTGCGGAATCGCCCCCATAATTTCCGTATAAACATCCACGAATTTATCTGTTCCGCGGAGGAGGGCTTGCAAACGAGGAGGGAATCGGCTGGTAGCTAAGGTGGCTGGAAGCAATCGACTTCGTCTTCGAAACAGCCCCTGGAGGCACAGCGTTCAACTTTGGCAGGAGAATTCCAATTTTGGGCTCTTTCAATTTAAGGCTACTTGTCTTCCCCGCCGTCGTCTTCTCGTTCGTCTCGCATTGCCGGAATGTCTGCTCGTCTCGCTCTGCTGAGGCTTCACGTACCCCTTCTCATTTCTTCTTTTATTCTGTTTCCACGATACACTCTTGAGATCGAGAAATAGAGGGGGAGAGAGAGAGAGAGAGAGAGAGAGAGAGAGAAGAGAGGAATCTTTTCATTAATTGATCTCTCTCTTTATCCAATATCTGTATCCTTTGTTCTGAAGAAGATCATTGATATTTTTTATTACTATTACTGTTGTTAATTTCGTGGAAGTTGCAATCGCGTAATCGCGATAAAACGAAACGGATTTCGCAGAAAATACGAAAAACCCTTTCTCGCTTGTAGTCGATTAAATTCAATCGAGGGGAATTTATTTCTTCCCGTTCGTTTCTTCGAGTTGAGATTGTTGAAATGAATGTAACGTGCAATTTCGCGTTATATTAGTTGTACTCAGAAGTGTAGTTACGTCTTCCGGTTTAATCTCTATACCAACGGGATATTAATGTGCATCGTCATCTGGCTGATTATTTGAGCGCTACGTTTAATCTACCGAGACACACGTGCCGGCGGAAACGAATTGTCGCCGCAGTTGTTTTCTCTGGAAATAACGATCATCATTTAGGGGACGGCTGGAAGCGTGTCTCCCTCGAGTCCCAGCCAAGGTATTATCGCAATTGGCTGCATTCAGAACCAGAAAACAGCACCGAGTTAACGTTACCGTGTAAATTTAAGCGGAGCTAGCTTTGAGCTAGCGATAACTTTTCTCAAAGACTCTTCCCTCTTGAGTCAAAATCAAGTTACTGCGACGTCAAGTTATGCACGAGAATGTCGAAGCAAATACGCATTTTCAAATTAGTATTGTCACAGAAATCCAAGACAATTACTTGTTCTGGATGCTCCGTCTGTGTCGCGCCGTTACGCATTGGTACATTGAAGACGAGAACTATGTTCTTTAATGGAGACACCGGATCGATCGCTATTTCAGACGCGAAGATGTACGTGCGGAATCTCTTTCACATAAAGGAAACGGAAGGAAACAATTTGTGTTCTGTTTGCAGGCGGAAGTCGAGGTTGTGGAACAATACAGCGACCCTAGAGACAGCAAAAGCAAAGCGTACGTGGAGCCGGGAGCGGAGTCATCCTTACCAACGATTTACAGCAGAGCAAATCGCAACTATTGTCGACCTTACACAGGTACGCTTTTAAGCCGACATTGAATCAAATAATACAAGAATGTTATTTTAACATATATATATATATATATATATATATATATATA